TGTCTTCAAGACGTACTGAAATTTGTACATTGATATCAACAGTTTATGCTGGCTGAAACCTAAGACAAAGTTTCCTGAATAATTACTGTTAAAAAAGCATTAGTTACCCTTTAAGATTTTACAGTAAACAAGATGAAACTTAAGTCCTTAAGTAAGTAAACTGACGTACAATTAGTTGTCGCTTCGTAATGTAGGCTAAAGTTTCACACACCCCAAGTGAAACCTTCAAAGGATATGTTAATGATGCGATTAGTTTTTTAAAAAGTTTTAATAATGCAAATTTATTCACTATCGTGAATATGCATTTTATGATGTGATAAGTGAGACGTTGAAATATTATATTAGGGGACTTTTTCCTCTAAGGTGCTGTTTGGCTGTAGTATGTTCTTCATAGTATAAACTTTTTTTCTTTTGTTTTGTAAAATGAATTTTGTTAATTATCCCATCTTTTAGTAATGTGGTGAAAGTTTTGACTAACTGATATTATTAACGTAGAATTTTGACAATGTTAGCTTAGTTGAAATTGTGATAGAATTTTCTAGTAGCTAATTACTACAAACAAATTCCTTAAATTTCGATTACTTGTTTTTTTGTCTAAAAAAATAATGAACTTACAAGGAGTCTGAGTCACTTGAGTTTGCAAAGAAACAAAAAAAAAACAGTACATAACATTATTTTGCGACTCAACATAAATATTATTAATGCTACTCTAAAAACAAGCATTTACTAAAACTCTTACACCAACTTTAATATGTAAATAGAAAATATATAATTATTTTTTCAAATGTAATTTTAATTTACGGTTAGGTTTTTTTAAACATATACGTTATCAAACGACAGTGAGCTTTTAACTGTAAAATTAAATGTACGACGAGACTTATTCCAATTCAATATTTAAAAATAATTTACATTAATTTTAGATGGACAGAATAGGTACGCTTGTTAAATTTGTATGTAGATTTTCTATTTGATTTGCCTCTATTGAACGTAAACTATGTAAAAGGTTAAAATCATAAATAATATTCAACGTTAAACTGGTACACAATTAAAAACAATTTCTTTAAGCCTATCTATGGTCTTCAAAAGTTGACCACTCTATGCTTTACATGCACCT